TATATATACTTATTGGATTAAATACAGGCTTCGCCCTGTCTCTTATACACATCTAGATGTGTATAATGAATCCATACAATACATTGATAATGCAGTAGAACCTCTCCATTAAGACACCCCTGTTGAAAGATCATTTTATGTTGCAGCCGCCAACTAGGCCTATATGAAGCAGTTTACCAACAACATTTAAATGCTTCTCTAGTCTGAACAGTTTCAAGAATAACTTGAAAACATCATTATTTATTGATGTTTTCTCCGGTTGTTAATACACAAATGCACGCCATTGTATCAGGATTCAATATTTTGACATTAATTATGTCATCATCAGGAATGTCCATCATCATTCCTGATGATGACATTAATGTTGAAACATTGAATCCCGACGATGGCGTGCATTTCGATACTTGGAGTATGTATTATACTATCTTATCTGAGATTAATCAGTGGACCTTTCGGTTAATACACAAAGATACTAGTACTATACAAGTTTTCATTTATTATTATTATTCATTATTCTGGAGACACCCCTATTAAGGAGACACTTTTCTGTGAAACGACGGAAAATATATCTTTTAACACTACGGCCAACCCCTATAAAGGGGACACCCCTATTAAGGGGACTGGGACATTTTCTGAGTGTGCCAAATGGTCAGCCAATACATATTATTTAACCCCTATTACGGGGACACTTCATTTGTTTTTATTGTATCACCATAACTACAACAGTCTAAAAATAAGAAAAATTCATTCAACCTTTTGGTTAGTGTCTCCTGTAAGGGTTCCCTTCACTCATATTAAGAGGACACTTTTTGGTCCTGAAGGTTTTCCCTTAATAGGGCACTGTACTCCCTTACTGCATAAAATGTATACTCGGCTGAGAAGGACCCACAATGCAATACACACAAACATAATGAGTTTGTTATTGAAGTCGTTGAAGGGTGATTTTTTTTTGTGAGATATTTGAATATACAGTAGTGTAGTTAGATACGGTACCGATTAGATTAGATCTTATGATCTGCCCGACTAGGTAGATAATAAACCAAAACTACGGAATAAGCAAAGATTTTTCTCCATGATTAATTTTTCAATTCACTTTCGTAGTTAGCATTATTTTTCCCAACACACTGATATTTAAAAAAAATAAACACCATTAGTCCAGTCAAATATCACCTTCATTCTTGCATAAACTTGGTAGTCAACGAAATTCACACCATGTTCTATATATTATGAAAAGATAATTTCTTTATGTTGCGAATTTTAATACCAAGTTTCTACATACCCTAGACCGCGGATTGTTGACATTGAAAAGTTATGTTAGGAATTATATACCGGTACTGCAGTAAAAAAAATCGTTTGTAGAAAATAATAGTTAGGGTCTAATGAACTTAGTGTTTGCATGTTTGCATAATTACAGTATTATTGGTAGGCATATTTGTTATTATCACATATATTCATTATCATTTATTGTAATTTAACACTATTTAATTTAGTGTTCATATGGAAAATGAATAAAAGAAAATTCAATGAAAAAGAATGATTCAATGAAAAAGAAAAAAGATCGCATGTTTAAATTACTTTTTTAAGAATTAAGAGTGTCCATTAATGCCTCTGTACATTTCTACAGTCACCATTTACATTGCTTTTTTTAAAGATGTCAGGAATTTTAGAAACTTGAGATATGCAAAACGGTGACGGGAGAAACCCTGGAAGTTTTGACTTGGCATTACAAAATACAAGGGTAACTTTCTTAAGTCAAGATACCACCACGAGCGTCTAGCGCCTTGGTTTTTTTATTTCCCAATTCGGGAGGGGGATACCGAATCCCAAACCCTTCCCCGATTCGGGGCTTCGCCCCTCCGTTAGCTCTGCGTGACAAATTACATTCCCACAATATGTAATATAGACCTATTACTAGGCCTATGTTTTTTCGTCTCAGGCTACGGCCTTGCAATTATTGCGAATAATATGACTGCAGTCAGTAAATTTAGCTCAAATTTTCTGACAAGTCCCATATGCCTGTTTGAATAGACGTATATAATATTCCATATTTTAATATTGCACTGTATGTAAAGCGCATTGAACAAATTTGAAAATGTGCTATATACATACATATTATTTTTTAATTTTATTATACTACTCTAAAAGATAACTTTATCGTTAAAGGGCTATGCTTGATACGATTATAACATGCCCTAATTCTGTCTCTTATACCCATCAAGATGTGTATAAGAGACAGGGGGACACCCCTATTAAGGGGACACTGTTTTTGGTCCCGAAGGTGTCCCTTTAATAGGGGTTCTATACTGTACTTGATAAATTTATGTTTTCTTTTGTACAGTTTTGTTTTTGTTGTGAGCCAAGATGAACCCTCTTGTAATTTGTTTTTGAAGGGTTTTGTGATTTTGTTTTGCACTTTTGACCTTTCTTATTACTATTAATTATTATATTTTGTTAGACAATTGTCTTATGCAGGACCATTTTTAATAACAGACTATACCTATTGTGTAATGGAGTGTATCTGGTGGTCTAATGGTTATGACGCTCGCCTTGACAGCGAGAGGTCGCAGGTTCGAGTCCCGCCAGAGGCATTTTATTACACAATTTCTTTATTCATTTATTTTACAGGAATACATTCGTTGAGAGCTATGCTACACGGTTTATTATTATGTCCTTTATTCAACACTGTATTTACCTTTCTTTGATGATTTATATATATAAAACCGTCCACGCTTGCTTATTCTCCGCCACCATTTCATTTCATTCCATCCGCTTTCTTCATCGTGCACTGTTAATCCATTCTAGGTTTTCCCACAGTTGGCGAACTCTAATGGAGTATCGATGGCCAAATCAAAATCGGCTAAATCCTTTGATCAGTTAATAGAAGACAATGATGACATCACATACAAAATCGACGATTGGCCGCCATGGTACATGACCATCATATTGGGATTTCAGGTATGTTTATTATCTATCAAACCAATTGGAGGGTTTCTAAGCGAAACAACATATGAAAACACAGGGAAGACTTGCAGCCTAAATTCAAAGGTCAGAAAAATTATCTCATAACATTTGGCTTGGCAACCAAAAGGCAGCTCGTGGCTTTAGATTTATAAATCCAAATTACAAAAAATAGGACTATAGGCCTACGCACCACTTTTAATATAGAGCACGCTTATGATGAGACTAACGGCAGAGTTTTTAGGTTCAAGTCCATGCAATGGTTCGCTCGATTTTCGTCCGAATTATATAAACACCATGGTCACGGGCCAAAAGCTGCAGTAAATCATTAAACCATAAACAAACAGGCTATAGGGTGACAATAAAGTTTAAAATGGCCATTCGGTGTTGACTGATCAGTAGTTTATCAGTCTAAATCATTAATTGAACTTGCCAGGTCAGCAAATGTTTGTATAATGGAATAAAATAGGTACACAGGCCTACTGTGCAAAGGCGATGACAGTTCCATTTTACGGTTGTACACATTATGTACACATTATGATAAAAGCAGTAATTGTTTACCTGTTGAATTTTGAATTATTCATTTACAAGTTCAAGTACGATAAAAGATAATTTGTACGACCAAGTAAACCACATTTCGTGAATATATCAATGAGTTGCAATAGAAGCACCATTATAAAGCCCAGGCCTGGCCGAAAAATCCTGCTAATGAAATTAATGTAGTATTTTAATGCTGTGTAGATCTATGCCAATTATGTATACGTAAGATGATGTATTAGCTTTTAATTAAAAGTTAGAGCAGAAAATATTTTTCTCCTCAGAGACGGCTGTCATTTTTATAAATACTGGTTTGGTAATCAATAAAGACTTCGTTTGTTGTAAAAAGTCTGGATCAACGAAAACTCTATTGCATTGATCTTTATAACTTATTTAGCCAAGGGAAGATTCAGCCGGGGGAGTGGGGACGAGGAAAAAGGAAGAAAAAAGGAATTGAACCCATGAGTTCGGTGGCAGATGCAGCAGTGGGCGAAAGAGGCGCTCGATTATTTTTACCGCTAATTTTGAATTTTCTATTGATTAACGACGAACACGACGCTATATCCCGCTATCCGATTTAGTCCAACGATTTCACAAGTCAGGATAACAAAAAAAGTCAAAAGACGGAGAATTAAGACGCTATTTCCAGCCATTATTTTAGGAGCTTAAAAATTGGTGCTTTTTCCCTATAGGCCTATTGTTGTCTCTTATTAGGCCTAAACCTTTAAAAATACACGTGAACTATCGTTGATCCAGGCCTCCTGGGTACACCTCTCACAAATCTTCCTCTCTGACTATGGGGCTCTAAATTTAGAGCTTTGCGCCTCCCAGCACAAAATAGACTAAGTCCCTCAATTAATCCTTCACGGCGCTCGTGAGGGGAGGGGTGTCTAGGAGAGGGGATCGTAACTCCGGTTGGTAAGAAGCCTAATTTTGTGAGCACTGGTTTGAAAAGGCAATTTTACCGTCAGGCAGTGTCATTTCCGGGAATCTATAGAAGTGCCTTTTCTTGAAATTTGCGCACATCAGCACCAACCATGGTGCGGCTGAGGAGGGTGTGGATTCACATTGTTGCCCCGGAAAAAAATCTGGCTCCGCTCCTGTTAGGCCGAGATTTTAACATTGATAATTAGGCCTATAGAGATCCATAATGTATACCTTTGATCCCTTATACATCCGTTAGAGGCCTATTTTTTAAAGATAATTTACATTAGAACTTACAAAGTAATCATTCATATTATAAAACTGTTTTTATTCTAAACAGCATTTCCTGACGATGTTTGGGAGCTGCGTGGCAATCCCGTTGATCCTGGCTCCTGCATTGTGTATCGGCAATGACCTGGTAGCCACAAGTGAGCTGATTGGGACGATCTTCTTTGTTTCAGGTCTCGTTACTTTGCTCCAAACCACATTTGGCGTCAGGTAGGCTTACAAAATTCTATCTTAAAAGTAAGTTATTATATAATTTGAACCTAATCACGCAATTTATGGACACATTGTTGTAACAGTATGAAGCATTTAATAATAAAAGAACTATACCAAAGAAGCAATAGCCTATTTCGATATGAACTTCCTGTTTCTGTGTGCCGTTTTTTACAATGCNNNTAAAGATGTGTATAAGAGACAGATATTATTGACCGAATCTGATTGGATGTATTTCATTTCACACTCTAATGCGGACACCAAACACCAAATCACCTTCTGATATAGTGCTGAAATGTTAATTTTCATTTATACGTAAAATGTACTACATTTTTTATGTTTTACTTTACAGACTTCCAATTATCCAGGGAGGAACATTCACGTTTTTAACTCCCACATTTGCTATATTGAGTCTGCAGGGAGATTGTCCTGCTCCTCCACCTCGTAAGTGGTCAAAGTATCGAGTATATATAAAAGTCATTGGAGCAAAGAGAACGTTTCGAGTGTCAAAATTAATTTTTCATTAAAACCGCGCCCCCGGGGTCAATGGACACAAAAAACAGGTTGGAAAGACCTGCACCCCATTTCCGTCAATTCGTCGGAGAAAAGTGCTGCGAAAATGCATTATTACGGTATTAAAGTACCGCTTCTAGGAATCAGAGGTGCCTTAAAATTTGCTCCAGCATGGCGGGGATGAGATGGGTCACTGCTGGAGTCCTTGGAACTCTCAACGAGGACGCTGGCCCCACTACTGGTTACCAATTTCAGTGATACTACTGATGAAGCTGACATTTTACTACTGAAACCTTTGAACAAATAACCAGCAATGAACCGTGTGAAAAATATAGGCCCAGGAACGTTGCAAGTTTTGTTTTGGCTTAGTACCGGTACAGACTTAATAATATTTAAATCGTTTACATTTGTGTATATAAAATAAACATTAAATGTCTAATTTGCATGTGTATTTGAATTGATTCGTTTCTTACTTTTCTTCTTTCATGTTTAGCTAACGCAACGGAGGCTCAGCTTGCTGATGCCACTGATGCTTGGCAAGGGCGCATGCGTGAAGTAAGTTATCGAAAGCTTATTGGATTTGGGGTTATGCGTACTATATTAGGGGGTTATGTTTACTGTCCTCAGTTGGTTCAATAGATGAGGCTCTCGTTTATGATCGAGATCAGTCTACTGGTAGTCATACGTAGTTGCAAAAACATTTTATCTAACAATGTATGTGATTAAATTTATGTTAATATATATTTTTAACAATACCATAGAGAGTGGATGAATTAGATTTTATTAGATATTTTTAACGTCAAGGGTGTATGTACTATATTTGGGAGTTACGTGCTATGTAACTAATGAAGTGATATCTAAATGTATTTTCAAAATTTAACATTATTGAGAAGAGAACCTGCCCTGTCAAATTAATGGAGGTGTCATTACCTTTGCATAAGGTCATAAGTTTAATGTACAATGTAAATATTGATGGTAAAAAAAGTTCAGGTACTCAATTTGAATACCTTTTAAGATTGATTATATTAAAATGAAAAGCAGTTAGGCTATAAATTGTTGCCTTTTGAAATAAAAATAATTGCATGGGTATTGTACAGTCTGTATTGGTTGTAAGGTTAAAAGGAAATCTGTGGAGTGACGAAGTAGGCGATCTAACAACAGGTATTGACAAGTATATAAAAAGGCTTATCAGCTATAGCTTACCGTATTGACTATACAGAACTTCTGTCCAACAGTTGGCCCCAATCACCCCCAGTACAAAACTCATGGGAAAATATGTATTTGAACGCAAAAAAGTACAATATATGTTGTAATTTGTTCAGTTATTTTAATGTAATGCAATGTGTTAATTTATATAGCACCTTATATAGGCCTAATTCATGATATTTATTTTTATCGTATATTTTTATATTATTAGTAGACATTTATCAAATGCAACTAAATTTATATTGTGATTTTTGTTTTGTTCTGCGTTTGTTTAGATTCAGGGAGCCATAGTCGTTGCCTCTTGCTTCCAGGTCATAATTGGATTTAGTGGAATTATGGGATTTATGTTAAAATTTATTGGACCGTTGGCTATCGCACCGACGATCGGTCTTGTGGGTTTGTCTCTGTTTAGTGTCGCGGCTTCCCGGGCTGGCGTACATTGGGGAATGTCAGTGTTGTAAGTATAGCCTTTTAAAAGCAAATATTAAATAAAAAATAATAATAAATGTATCGATGATGATATTCACAACCGTTTTAATAGCAATCTGCAAATTACAAATGATAAATTACAAATTCAAGTTTAACAAAAATAGAAATATAAAACTAGATAGAAATATATATATATATATAAATATTATATAAAAATTATTCTTATTATTATTATATTTATTTATTTATTTATTTATTTTTTGGGAAAAAAACCCCGGGAAAGAAAGAATCAAAAACAGAAACTTGTGTAATCAACAATAAAAACACGAAAAATATTATATTAAAGTTATAATTAACATTATTATTAAAATAATGACGTTGGTGGTAATGGTCATGAATGATGTTGTTGATGATTATTGGATAATGAAAATGATGATGATGATGATGTTGATGATAATGATGATGATGATGATGATGACGATGAATGATGTTGTTGACAATAATGATTATTAGATAATGATTATGATGATAATGATCTTGTTAATGATATAATCAATATGATAATCATGATTATGATAACAAATAGGCCTATATTTCTAACTTTTCACTGACAGTGAAAGTGCGTATTACAATGAATGTTTTTAATGCTTAATTTTATTATATCATTCTCGCAGAACTATAGTACTCGTTATCATGTTCTCGCAGTACTTAAAAAACATCAACGTTCCAACACCTGGTTACACTTCCAGCAACGGATGCCACATTACCAAGTACCCGATATTTAAGTTATTTCCTGTAGGTTTTGATTGGGATGTCATTAATAGAATTTAAAAAAACGCATAATGACGAATTGCGTAAATGAATACTAAATGACGTTTAAATGACATAATGACGCATAATGACATACTAATAACGCATAATAATGGTGCAGGTTGTGATGATGATGATGATATTAATGATGATAACAATGATGACGATAAGATGGTGATGGATATGGTGATGAAGATTATGGTGATAATGATGATGATGGAGGTTTTGATAATAAAAACGGAGTAACATTTATTTCGTTCTCTTCAGGTTATAATAGCTATAATAATATCCTGGATTTTCTCTGCCATATTTACGGCTGCCGATGTATTTCCAACGAATTCAACGCAATACGGTTATGGAGCGCGGACAGATCTGAACACCGAAGTCCTAAAGCAGGCGGCCTGGTTTCGATTCCCGTATCCTGGTAAGTCTTAGGTTCCCACTGCATGTCAGTATCCAAGGTCAATCCACATAAACCTACGTTGTGTGGAGGCCTATGTGGTGATGGTTATGTCGATTGTTGATATGGGCATGCGCAGTTCAGACTACGAAATGTCTTATTGGAATTGAATCATTATCCAGTACCCCTTTTTTATAACACTGAGGCTAATTGCCTAAAAATTAAGAACAAATTGAGGCTGAAGTAAAATGCCAAATGACGTTTTTATTTTTTTTTTTTTAAATGAAAAACCAACAAGTATACCTGTAGTTGATGTGACTATGTAATACCCCTATACTACAGTACAGTATACTGCTGTACAATAATAATTTTCTGTGTTAGAAAAATGTGCAAAAAATAAGATCAAAATTAGAACATTTGAGAGAACCGTAGAACAATGAGCTTGGACAAAATTTTACTGGTTCTTATAATAATAATAATAAAAAAAGGTGTACCTTATTGTCATTTTAGATTACCCGAGCCCTCTAACATTTGTTATAGTCGGGCTTACGATAAGAAAATAGGTTTTGTATTTTTTTATTATTATATTATAAAATTCCAGTCCTCATCAAAATATGGAGATCTCTAGGTCCCCGGTTCAATTTCCATCGCTGCCTCTCCTTGTGTTTCAGCTAGAGGGCTGAAATACAAGTTACAATAGCGCACCGTCTTTCGGATGAGACGTTTAAGCCGTTGGTCACATGTGCCCATGTGCACGTTAAAGAACGCAGTACACTCTTCGGAAAAGAGGGGATTGTCTCCCGGTGTAGGCCTACTGTCCATTCACCACCAGAAGGACCCCACTGGAAATATGTCTTCTTCTAAACTTCCGTAGGCTATCATTGGTGTTTACACCGATTAAATCCAATCCAATCCATAAATGTGAAGATTTATCGTAATGCTTGAATATTCATGACATCGATTTTTTCGATAAAATTAATATCATAACGTACGGTACGTAATGTAACTCTGTCCAAACAATAGGCCTAACTTTCATTTGTCCCTTGAAGAAAATCAAGGAGTTTTAGATTGATGGATATAATGAATGGTTGATTGATCAATTGGTTGATTGACTGAATTATAATTGCGTAATTTAATAATCTAATTAGGTTACCATGAGCTTGAAAGTTCGAACGAGAAAATATGTTTTATTGCCAATTAGCAAACACATAGTTGATACAAATTATTGTTTGTTCTTTTTAACAAATTTTTAAAATTACTGTTAATCAATGTAAATATTTTTGTAGCAACAAACATGATCTAAATCAGCAAAATCTAAATTTATTTTTGATATTTTTGCCAGATTTTACCGCAGACAGTAGGCGTATATATTTTTGGCATTATAGTCCAAACGCTATTTTTCAAAGTGTACATTCTTTCATTCATGATGATGACATAATTAATGTCGAAATATTGAATCCCAACACGATGGCGTGTATTTCAATACTTGGAGTATGTATTATACTTTCTTACATTCTTTCAATTTTACACTTTACAGTACCGTATATTCCATAGTTTGGCATTCCTGTGGTTACCGCGGTATTGTACCGAATCTAATCCGTTTTCAATGTCAATGTATCCGGTCAACAATAGAATAACAATGATCAATTCCTGCAGTCTTTGTCTTGCTACGTAGGCAGGGCCTCGGTATTCAAAACGGGTTTAAATGCTATCAAGGGCTTCAGCCCACAATGACCTTATGGACCCTATGTCATTTCCGGATATATGGAAATATGAAAGTGCTGTAATATTTAATATAATGAATATCGGGTATTCTTTTTAATCGGTTAGTGATTATAACATCCGGGCCACATTTACTTATTGTAAAGACAACAAAGTGGTAAAAACACTTGTACACTTTTTTCCAGGAAGGTGTCCTTAAAACTAAAGCCCATTCTTCGGACTAAACCCAACTCACTTAGTGCATCTCAGCTAAAGGGTAATATTATTGACAAATTACATGATACATTTTGTTCTGGTTGTCTAAATTATATCACTAATTACCTGTCTAAAATACCGGACATATTTTCTTTTTAAAAACACATTTACCAATGAAAAATATTGTAATTTCTTTGATATCGATATGCGTTGCAACTTTACTTAACTTAGAACAAGTGCTCACTCCCTCGTGATTGAGAAGGGGCGACTTACCTCTCCAGTTACTCCTCTTTCTAACAGAGTTTGTACCTCATGTGGTACAAATGAGATTGAAGATAAAATTTTCATTTTATTCTGATTTTCGTAATGAATTATTTAATTTAATTAGTGAGGGAGCATCAGATTTTGATAATGTAAATGATTTTGATAAATTTGTCCTTTTAGTTTAGTGCCAATGATTTTGATATTCTGCTTCCTGTTATTAAGTTTGTTAATCATGCTTTTAAGAGACGCAATATCTATTTTTATAATTTTTTTTGTACTGTACTTTTGTCCCTTGTTGGTGTTGTTCTTCTTTGTCATTTTCGATATCTATTTTATATCAAATATGTTTTTTTATGAATGAATAAAAGAAGAATTATTGTAGGATGTGAATATTCCTGCCACTAAATAACGCAATCCGATTTATTCATTGCGCATGCGCTGACTGTAATTTTCGACTATAACTGGCCTCACCAAAACATTTAATAGCTGTGAGTTGTAGTACAGTATTACTTATATACATTTCCCAAACTGTAACAGGTCAATGGGGAGCTCCTATTGTTACTGTAGCCGGCGTCTTTGGCATGTTGTCTGGTGTTCTAGCATCAATGGTCGAGTCTGTTGGTGATTACTATGCTTGTGCTCGGCTATCTGGTGCGCCACCACCACCCGACCACGCCATCAACCGCGGCATCGGAATGGAAGGCATCGGTTGTATTTTAGCAGGCTTGTGGGGTACGGGTAATGGGACGACGTCATACAGCGAAAACATTGGGGCAATTGGAATAACAAAGGTAAGTAAGTATATATA